AAATAATGCAAATATCTTGAAATGGCCAAGTCAGTCCCCAGATTTGAACACAATCGAGAATCTGAAGTTTTTTTGAAAATTCAAATCCAATCGAGAGCTCCAATAAACATCCCGGATCTGAAGACCATATGAAAAAAAGAGTAGAACAAAATGCCAACTAAAATTTGCAAATCATTACCTGAGAACTACAAGCAAATATTGGTTACTGTAGAAGTTAATAATGGCTATTTTAAAAAGTAATAAATAAAGTTTATATTCTTTTTTTTTATTGTACGAATACTTTTTGCATCCATTAAAATGGATAAATGGAATTTATTTCTATTAAATTAATTTTTTTCCTGTTTTCTATGCATATTTATTTATTATGCATTTGTGTAAATTTAATTATATGAAATGTATGTTTATATACATTAGTTGGAAATACAATAAATTAAAAATTTGTATGTGTACGAATATTTGTTTCTCCCCGCCTCCACTGTCTATATGGTAAGAGAATATTAAATAAAACATAAGGAGTTAAGAAAGATTAAAGGCTTACAGATCAGCTTCTAAGGTTAAATCGTTAACAACTGTTTTGGTTATAAGATATTTTTATACTATAATAGTAATAGTACTATTAGTTGTAATATAGTAATATTACTAGTTATTATTCGTTGTAATATAATAATATAGTAAGAGTAATATTACTTGTCTCCTAATGAGGAATGACTCGCCATCCTTTGACCAAACCACTATCTATGCTGACGGTTGAAATTTTATAAAAATCTTTCTCTTGAAATAATTTTTCAGGAAAAATATTTTTTCCACTTCCACTAGCCGTTATCGCTCTTTCCAGTAGTGATGGGGGATTCCTTCCTTCCCCTTTTTTTTGAGTAATATATAAACTCAGCATTGTGATTATGTAATTATTCTCTCTCCGAGTTATATATACCATCCATTTTAATCGTTGTCGCTTTTGAAAGTCTTCAAGTGATGTGGTTTCAGTTACGTGATCTGCCAGTTATATCGACAGTTCACAAGGTTCGAAGAAGGATGGTCCTCGCTTAAACCTACATGCTACTCGCTCGAAGCCAATTTTAAGCATTGGTCATAGAAAGCGGTTGTACACAACTAAGAGTTTAGTTATTTCTGCTGCCACGCTTGGCATCCCTATGAAAGTCTCATATGACTAGCCTCTTATTCCAGGTTAATCGTTTGGTTTTGGACAAGCTACCCCTGCTACGGGTTTGCGTTGTTGGACAAACTACCCCTAGATTGGATTTGCGTTATTAGACAAACTACTCCTAGTGAGGGTTTGCGCTTTTGGACAAACTACTCCTAGTGTGGATTTGCGTTGTTAGACAAATTACTCCTAGTGAGGGTTTGCGTTGTCGGACAAACTACCCCCAGTGTGGAATTGCGTTGTTGAACAAATTACTCCTAGTGTGGATTTACGTCATTGGACAAACGGCACCTAGTGACGGTTTGTGTGGTGGAACAAACTACCCATAGTCTGGATTTGCGTTGTTGGACAAACTACACCTAGTGTGGATTTGCGTTGTAGGACAAACTACCCCTAGAATGGATTTGCGTTGTTGGACGAACTACCCCTAGTGAAGCTTGTTCTACGTTCAGTTGTCTCTTCTATTAAATTTGTTATGGTCGATGAATGTACCGAAGTATTTGAACTGTTTAGTTTGTACTAATTCTATATGCTAAATTTTTCATGATAGATTCGTGTTACATGACATCACTGTTGCTATTCCAATTCCAAATCAAAGTTTCTATTTTATACATATCTTTCTTGAGTCCTATTTCCTGGAACACTTAGAGGAATCATTCAAATCCCAACTATGAATACTTATTTCATTGGTATAGCAGCCATCATCCTGAGTACATTGGTCTTGGGTTGGGGAGGCAGGAAGGTACATTTCTAAGAGGAGGTAGAAAAGTGATTATGATGCCAAGTAGGATAGATAGCGATTGATCCTTGAGTTGAAGACGTTACGATTTTTGCGTTCAGAAAGGCATCCAGAGAGGTTTCTTCCAGCTTTCTCGGAAAATCTGACTGAGTGAAACTCCTTTCTCTTGAACGCAGAATGACGAGTGTTAGTTGTAAAGGTCTAGACTGGTGGAGTTAAAGAATGGACTGAATAGAGATAGGCTTGTAATGTTGCGTCTACGGGGAAAGAGGCTGTAGAATGGAAAATAAGCCACCCCCTACAAGACCATGTAAAGAATTCTGAACTCTATCAAGGCTTGACAGTGATGATTTGGAAGTACTAGCATAACAAATTTGGAGGCAATACGCCATTTTTGATCTAATTTAACACTTATAAAGACAAGGAACTTTCTGATACGGTATAAGTAACCCGGTAATTTCAGAACTGGCATGAATTTGATTTCGTTCGGTTTGGTTTGGTTTGTTCCATGGCATATCAACCTTACAGGGTTATTTAATGCCCACAAAATTTCTTTTCGTTTAGTTTGTTTAGGTTTGTTTTAGTCAATGGTTTATTTAATGACGACAAGATTTTTATTTCTGCTAATATTTTTTCACAAATGTATTGCTGGTAATTTTTTTTCCAAAAATGTATTTCTGGTAATAAGTTTTTTTTCAACAAAGAATTGCTGGTAATTTTTTTTTTTCAAAAATGTATTTCTGCTAATAATTTTTCCTCCCAACTGTATTGCTGTTAATAAAATCGATTTTTACACCTTCACAGCGTTTTGACTCCAGTTTGGGGGTAAACTATTTGCATATAGCTGGGACCCTAACAGGTCCTTCCAGTCCGAGTCAGGGTAGACCTGGGAACACCAACAATTAAGAGGTGGTTCGACGCTCCTCAAAACATCCTGATCAGAGGACTTGTAGTAGGACATATTTTATCGTCTTACTCAGGTCTCCGAGGCAGTTTATCATCTTACCAAGGACGGCGTGAATATGAATCCTAACAGACTTTCAAAACATAAAGCTTTGAATTTGAATCCCAACAGACTTTCAAAACATAAAGCTTTGAATTTGAACCCCAACAGACTTTCAAATCATAAAGCTTCATTAAAATTGTGACACGAGTAAGCTTAGGGTTCTATTGGTGAAACGACACTAGCTTAGTTTGAGAGATATTAGAAAATTAAAAGGCAGTTTTTCCCCATTGATCTGTTAAAGATCAAGTGTAAGGCTCTGAACATCTCGATATTTTTGTTTTGTTTTGCTGGGGGTGCTTCCTTAAACTGTAGCGTTATCAGCATATATGTTTATTAATTATCAGAGTTATACAGATTATTTTGGGAAGCGTAAAAATAATTTGCGCATATACCGGACTAGATAACATGTAAAAAAGCACTTTTCAGAAAAAAAAGTTGAAAATTAGCGAAGCTGAATCCTTCAGGCGCCTAATTTTATTCCAAGCGTTTGCTATGGTGGCAACGGTTGTTTCAAATTATTCTAAAATTATTCTGGAAATATTTATGGATCCGAATGTAGTTAATTGTAGCTATTTTATGATGTTTCTTTGAGCAACATCTATGAAATCTATTTCTTTCAGCTCTGTCGAATCCCATATTTCTGAAAATATTTATGATTGTTTTTCCGGATTTGTCTGTGTTTTGACTGTTACTGTTTCTGAGGATTATGTTATCGTCGTCACTGTAGAAGCCAATATCATTTTTATCGATTATTTTAGTTTGTGCAAGAAACGTATACATATAAGCTTTCAGAATTCTGAACCACTAAAATTTATCATATGGAGGTCTATAAATATTTTAATCGATTATCTTACATAGTTCATTGTGTAAATGCATGCATAAAATCTCACAGGAATCACCGTCTAAACTGCTCATTGTTACGTCGAAGATACATTCTCGCTTAAGGCAGGTGTTTTCATTTTGGAACAATAGCGTTTTTCAGTACTGATACGGACTTTTGCTTCGTTTGCTATTATTTTTATTTGTTCTTGGACTAAGAAGATGGTTGTATCTAGCAGGGGTTCAGTTATAGAAAGGTAGATTTTTTGTAGTTGTTTTAATCAAGGAGATATAACGAGAATAATCAATTAAGCTAACATATTCATTGCAGGGAATAAGACTAGAAATTTAAATTGAATTAACAATATAAAAAAAACACAACAAACTGCTCAAGGACAACGTAATTAACACATACTGAAAAGCATAAAGAAAAACTACACAATACGATGTTAATATAGAAGCTATGAAATTTTCCAAACATACTGTGCTCTTGCTATTTATCTGGAGCTTCTGCATAAAATCCAAAGAAGAAGCAGCAATATTATTAGTCTTCATCTGGTGTCTCGGCTTTAGTGAGTTTTATATCCTGTAAGATATCTAATTTTGCCTTTTCCATAAATAACTTCGTGGTAATCGTTCGATGAGCTTTTCGCTGTGGTACCAAGGCTTTATGAATTTAGACTGCTGACCAATTTACAGTTGAGCTAGTTAGATGTAACCTTAAATTCTATGCTAAATGTTTCTTTTCTCTCATTTCTCGCCTGTGGAACCCCGTTCCGGCTCCATACATTCCAGCAAACTTTAATCTGCAAACATTTGAATGAAATATCAATTGCTACCAACTGTTCTCCTCATTACTCTTCTACTGTTATCGCTTCCTAGCAATTTAGCAATTGTTCCTGTTTCTAACTATCCATACACAGTAACTCATAATGTCTTAGCGGCTTTACTGTCTTATTTGCGAATCTATATAGATAGAAATCGAAAATATTTCCTTTTTAGTATATTCCTGTTCTTGTAAAACCTAACTTAACTAAGCAATTGAAAAGCATCTGGCTTGTTGCTATATTTCACCATCGGTGTTCCTGTCCGCCCACATAAAAGCCAGGATTTTGAATACATATTTAAAAGGAATGTAAGGCTTCTTATCTTGAGAGGCTGACAGAACGCTACAATTTTCCCGTTTTCTATTTATCCGTGGACCGGAGTAAACGAAGCTTTGCAAATATCCATTAATCACAGTCAATTCTTAAGAAACTCACTTTGTATTTAAGATTTTTCCTTCCTATCTATCTATCTATCTATCTATCTATCAATCTATCTATCTATCTATGTCTATTCCAATCTATCTATCTATCTATCTATCTATCTATCTATCTATCTATGTCTATTCCAATCTATCTATCTATCTATCTATCTATCTATCTATCTCAGTCTATTCCAATTTATCTATCTATCTATCTATCTATCTCAGTGTGTATTTTCTTGGTGTCAATATTACATATGTATAGGCAACAGGCAATATCAAAATATTTCATCCACTACACACGCACAAACGTACACAAACACACATATGCATATAAATACATATATACAGACACGCATATGAATACATATTTATATATATATATATACGTACACACACACACATACACACACAGATATATATATATATATATATATATATTGTGCGTTTGTATATGAAATTCTCTGTAACCGGGTTATTTTTTAAAATTCTTTCTCTCATAAGAAGATAAATTATTTTAGAATAATGGTATTTTATTTTCTTTAAAAAAGCTTTCTCTTGGAATCCGATTACGTATTTTCTAAGATAGAATCAGGTATTCCGACCTCATTGTTCATATCATTTTTTCTGCAAGAACACGTTTTTTTTATCAAAGGCATAACAGCGGATTTTTTTTTTTTTGCGAACGTAGCACAGCTGAGGAAATTCCGATCTTACATATTTTTATTTTGGAGAGATAGGTTCGCTGCGAACTTTCTTTTATCACTGATCCAATAGCATTTAGTCTTACATACATACATATATACATATATATATATATATATATATATATATATATATATATATACACACGACACAACATACACACACACACACATATATATATATATATATATATATATATATAAATATATATATATATATATGAAACACTTGTGCACATATATACAGATAGGCATAAGCACATATATACACACATACACACACACACATATATATATATATATATATATATATATATATATATATCCTTAAATATTCGGAATTTTTTTAGCAAAAGAAAAATTTTCATGGTATTTTGCGGCACATGTTTAAGCAGTGATTTGCAACCCAGAAGTACATCTATCTATCTATCTATCTATCTATCTATCTATCTATCTATCTATCTATCTATCTAA